ATTCATGGGGCTCTTATTGTGAAAGAGTGGTTCAGGGAGCATGAGACATCATTTTCACACATGGACTGGCTCCACAGAGTCCACTGAGAATCTTTGGGATGTGCTGGAGAAGGTCAGACTCTACCATCATCAATGWAAGATSTTGGTGAAACATTAATGTAACACTGGATGAAATAAATCTGGTGACAATGTAGAAGATTATCCAAACAGACACAGAGAAGGTGTGACATAATMAAAGCTAAAGGTGGTCCAACAAAATRGTGTRTGTAATATTGAGTGTGTGACTTTTTTTCTTTTGGCCAGGYAGTGTGTTAAACACTAATAAMRYACACATCCACAGCCTGGGAGCACAAGTTTATATGACTTCGATATATATATATTTTTTGCTAATTATAAACTGAACTGAAACTGAACTGAAAACTACAAGATGCTAAATATTTAGCTTTATTCTAAACTTTTAATGAATAGTTCGTTGTATCRTTCAGTTATAACACATTCAATCTTTATTTTGTTTTTCTCCACCATTACAACACTCCACTGGAGGCTGTGTAACAAACAAAAACAAAAAGGTGTAAACACAAAAACGTGGACATCTCTTTGGAGGTGCGTGTCTCGTTCTGTAGTTTCATTCAAGTTGAACGGTTAGCCACCGTGTTAAAAACAAGCTTCACAAGAGTTTCTTGACAGCATGAAGACACAACAAATGGACCTTTTTCTGGATCGTAAATACAAAACAGGTGAACACGTGTTTTAGGTTCTTTTTGAAGTCTTCATAGTAATAAATACTCCAAACAGTTTCAGTCACTTTCCGTGCTTCTCATTCGGACTGTAAGGAAATGTTAGTACCAGCAGATGGAAAAGTGCACAACTGAGGACAGTGTAGCTTTCTTAAAAATCAGCCTAAAAACTCCAGTGTTTCAAACAAAAATCATCAAGTAATCATAACTCAGAACAAAACAAACTAAAGTGTAAACAAAAGAGATGGAAGGGACCAAAACTGCAGGATAAAAAAGAAAGTAATGATTTTAATAAAAAGGTAACAGTAMAGGATTCTTTGGACCGTGTGAATATTACAAGTTTGTTCTTGAACAAGCTGTGACCTGCTGATAATAGAAGTTTGATTTCAGTGTGGAATGGTCCCCCTCAGAACTGCTACAAGGAGCCCCCCAGTTAGTGTGGGTAAACCTTAGGTAGATGCACAAACACAGGGAACACACGCACTCCCCCTCCCCCTGTCAAACATCTGACAGTCTCATGATGCTTTGGTCCAGCAGAACAAGCAGCAGTCTTTATGTTCGGACCTGGAACTTGCCGGCCTTGGTCATGTACTTGATGCCTTTGAAAGGTTTGTACTTTTCACCGTACATGTCCAACCGATTCACCTTCAGCCCTGAAAAACACAAACATCCACGATGCTGACAAATTCACAAACACTATGGAAGAGGTGATAAAACTAAAACTGTWAAAATGTTACGTTACTAAACCTCCCTGTGGGTTATCACTTCTTTCTTTTTCCTGGTAAAGTCAAATTCTTAAACTGTCCCAAAATAAAGACGTGTTGGGTGAAAATAAAAGAATACTGCTGAGAAAAGCATTTGTGTTCTTGTTCTACAAATGATGTGTACTTATCACAGAGCAAGTTACCCAACACTTAAAATTTTAATTAATACATCTTTTACAGAAAGATAAATAGAGGTGCACGATAGCTTTATCATAACAAAAAAGTGCTGATAATACTGTATATGTACATGTTTGCCTGCACAGCGGTGAGTGTGTTTATTTATTATTATCCTTTTTTGATCAAGCCGCTCCCAGTCCTGCCCAAGACCCACGCACCGTTCAAGTGGCGTCGGAAAAAACAACTTTCTCACTAGAACAATCATTAGAATACTCCATGCTGGAAAACAACCAGTCATTTTAATAATCATTAATATTATTTTACCAATTAACCCTGTATGTTACACACAAACTTTATAACTCTAAATATAAAAAGGTCAAAACAACTACTCCCAATCTGAGAACATGTAATGTCCGTTACATCCTGAATGCAGCACAGAGTCCGTGCTGCTAAAAATGCTAACAACAAGCTAACGTTCAAGAACTCATTGGGACTTAAATCATTGCTGAGGCTTTGGATAAATCCAATAAAATTGCCAGAGAGGACACAGATCTCAAACAATTAATGGATGGAAATGGTGGCATGTAATGTACTTTACATGTAATGTACTTTACATGTAATGTACTTTACATGTAATGTACTAATGTTCAAATATACTTTGAATCTAACTTTTGTTGGTGCATTATCTGTTTTGAACTTGTGGAATGACTTTTTCTCTTTGTACATATTTGTTTTAAATCTGAGAGTTTTAAAGTTCTTTTTATCATTATGTGACTTATTAATGTCATCTTTCAGCAGTGATGTTCATTTGAGAAATGGTTCTGTTTGATCTATTTTAAGAAATGTTTGCTTGTTAAGAGTGTATTTCAAATAGTATAATTCATTTGGTACAAGTCATTTGGTTTTGGTCTTGTTTATTTAGGTTATGATCTTACCCATTTTTAACTAGTCTTATCTCCTGGCATGTTATCGGTTATCGGCTGTTAGAAGGAGAAAGTTATCGGTTATCAGTATTGGTTCTTAAAATAAGTTATTGTGCATTCCTAAAGATAAAGGTTTTGTTTATCTTGCAGTTTTTGGAATATTTTATCAACCAGAATTGTAAGTTAAAAATAGTTTGAGAGCCACATTACTGTATTGGTTATAAAAAAAACTCCACCCAGGTTACCAATGAAAACAGCTCATTCGCACAKTTGTATCATCTTTAAATCTGGATAGCTGAGGTGTATTAGCTGAATTTGGCGCCACCTAGTGGGCATCAGGGTTACATGTTCATCAACCCATCAGGTGGTTGTCAGCTGACCAGACTGTGTGCTGAAAACTGCTGGAATATGAGGCGGTGGATGTAAAAAGTAAACACACTGACAAGTTTTAACTAAATTGTTGCTTTAACACACTAAAACGACAAAATAAAGTTTTTTAAAGATTGTTATAGCTGAAGACATTAATGTTCAGACTGTGCTGGTATCTACCTGAGATGGCCATCTGTTGGATCTTGAACTGAATATTAATGGTGGGGTTCTCGTCTGGTTTAGAGGCTCCAGCCTGCAGGTTCATGGTGCCTTTCAGGTTCGGAAGCTTCTGTGGGTTGATCTTACCAACATCCCATGTCAACAACTTGCAAAGATAAACGCACAAAGTTATCATTAGGGAGCAAATATCACAAGGACAAAGAAAGTTTGAGCTAAGTTCAATTAATTAGTCACTAAAAAAAAATCACAACTTCAACATCATGGTCTTAGGCACAAACACACGGATGGTTTCTGTGTACCTTAGTGACCGGGTCAAAGGTGTATGTTCCCTGGGAAGGGTTGAGGTTAGCGTTGAGGACGCCCCGAGGCAGCTGGCTGCTGACWAGAACCGCCTCCACGGCTTTACCCATGGTCTGYTTGGGGCCCAGAGTCAAGTCGAAGCGACCCTGGGAGCTTCCCTCCCGAAACGTGATGTTGTGCTTGACGTACACGGGGATGGCCACCAGGCTGCGAAGCAACAAGACAAAGGAGGGAGGAGTCATGTTCAACTTAGGATTTTATCGTTTTCATGCTGACAATAACAGTCAGAACACAAACTAGATACCACATAACGGTAACATAATGACCCACGCACGCAGGAATGCACCAGAACTCAGAAGTCTTTATTCCTAATAAATGTCATGCTACTAGGTGCATCCCAAAATTGTAGTAGCACTGATTGGTGGGCCTGATGGATAGAGCTTCATCAGAGCTAAACAACAAAAGAAATCTGAAGCTTCTATGTTGAACAGTTTCTGAGTTATAAGCAATTTTGTATGTCCTGACACCCCCACTTTGAAAGGAGCCCCCTCTTCAAATATGGGGTCTATCGTAAAACCGTTGGCTGGAGCAGTGTAGGTCAGACTCATCTACAGTCCTGCCAAATTTCATGCTGTTTGGTGCAGCTGTTCTTGTGCTACGGTTGATCAAAAATCACTGAAAAAAAACCAGTACGAAAACAATATGACTCCCGCTCACGCTTCACATGCGGGGTTCATAATAAACCCACTATTCACTAAACACAAAACCCCTGAGAGGCGTTTGCTGCTGTGTAAACTGTGAACAAACTAACTTCTGAGAGCTGACGTGGTAGGAGAGCAACCGGAAGTTTCCATCAGGTGGGATGAAAGAGAGGATCCGCTCAGCTTCCCATCGTTTGAACCGAACACACGGGTGAAAACTGACATCATCCAGCAGACGAGGATTCTGGGAAACAGGAAACAGAAGACCCATCTGACCATCTTCCTATTTCAACTCAAATAAAGCATTAATGTACAAAAGAGTGAAAACAACTGTCCGCTGAAAGACGGCGTTAACAGAATATCACAACCTGAAAACTAATGCTAAAAAAAGGGAGAGAACCCACCATAAATGAGAGCGTGAGGTCCGGCATGCCTGTCAGTTTCACACAGGCATCGATGACTCCCTGAATCTCTGCTGTGATGGTGGAACCTGGAGAAACAAACACACACAGGGACCTTCAACACAAAAAAAGGAGGTTTTAATGTAAACAAACTGAGGTGTTTCAGCTGCAGACCCATCGGACAGATACCTGATTTATCAATGATGGCATCGATCTCCTCCACCACATCGAAATAGGCTTCGTTGTTGGTGTATTTGACCCCGGTGCGTCGCCACGGCACCACTGACAGCTGACCAGTGGGTAGCTGTTCACCCACATTGGTGCTGCCTGGAACAGACATGCACTGATGGTAAACACACAGCAACAACAGAGGCAGCTACAGTGCAGGACAGTGTGTTAGGGTCACTCAGATACCAAATTATTTTTGGTTTGCTTCCCAACTTTAATAATAAAATCACAAAGCACAGATTATATTAGTAGCAGAAATGTAATGTTGAGCAAAAACGTCCGGGTCCACACGGTAAGATAACTGTGCCSACTTTTGACTTGATTTTGTCCTGATAATCTTAAGGAAGCAAGTTGATGGGTGATAATTTGTTTGACACAATACTTCTAAACTTCTCGTCTCCACTGGAGCCTGACTTAGTCTGAACTTAGACCCCTCCCTGCTGACTGTGGTTAGGGRGAAGGTAGATGACCTGTGATGGTGTTGACCATTGTACGGAGAATGGTGGGGGGCTTAATAAGCTCTTTGAGGATGTTGGACTCTGTGGCCAGCGGAAACCCGTTGTCCAGCATCTCTTCCAGCAGCTCATAAACCACCACCACGTTATCTTTGATGGCCGCTTCTGTGCACACTCCAAAGTAGTCCTGGAAGAAAAACAAATAAAAACACAGAATACAGATATTCTGAGTGAGATGAGCCAAACTAAACGAGCAGAAAATTAWAACGACGCAAAAAGGMCCAACCTGGAACGTATCGACRACTCKGTGCAGAAATTCGATGACGAAGAGCGGCGGCACCTCGCTCTGGATGACAGCCACAAAGTAGATGCGGTGCCTGAGCACGCTGATCAGGTAGTGATGTGGCGTGGGGATCACTGGTGGCACATTCTCTGGTTCAGTGGCGCGCTCCTGAGCCTCGAAGAAGTAGTCACACACGGAGCGGCTGACCACACTTTTCCAGTGCTTCTCCAGGAAGATGTCCCCGGAGGCGTTTATCAGGAACAGGCTGTGGATCATCCTGACTGAAGGCAGGGAGACTGGAGACAAAAATTAAATTAAATTWAATTWAATTTAAAAACGGGAAACTGGTCAGAGATTAACATCAGGGGTGGTTTCAGAAAGCTTTCAAAGGAGTGGTCAGATGGTCAGGGAGGGACTGATAATCTTAGGGAAGCCCACCAACAGCAAAGCCACCACAGAATTTCAGTTGTTTTATGTTGTCTAATATAAGTTATTTAAACAGGACTGCAATGTGGAAGTGAAGTTATCACCCTCTGAAATAGGCTTTGTGCTTCTTTTGTTTGTTTATCAAGTTGATAATACTAAGAACAGCACACTGATTACTCAACTCATTAAAAATTATTATTTTCTTCTAAAATCATCATCAGGACTGAAACTAGCATTCCTTGAAGGAAGCTGCCTTGCCTGGCCAAGTTTGAATCAAAGATCTGTTTGAGCTCAGAGTGTACGACAGGGACAACTCTCAGCTGCTACCTTGTGTTTCAGTGGCTGATGCTGGTCTTTCAAGAAGGGGAAGCTCAATTTCGGCCTAAATAAAATGCGTCGGTTTATTTATACGTAAATTCTACCCTCCGTTCCTTTTCAAGAGAATGATCTGTGACYCTGTCACAGATCATTTTACAGCCCTTCCAGTCAGCCAGCTCACTTTGTCATACCAGGACAGATGAAAAGACCTGTTACTTTTTCCCAYCTTTTGCACCAAATCAACCCGAGGAGTTGATCAGCCCTGCTGTTTAACTCTTAGTTTTTCTTCATTTGGAAGACCATCAAATGGTTTAGCCAAAATCCGGTCCATAACATTCAAACTGTCTGCCTGTGCAGCTTGTTACYGGTGCAAGGCTAGTGTGAAGTGTGTCCACCTGTGTGTGCTTTGTGACGGAGGAGGGGCTCAGCAGCMCCCGCTGGACAGAAACTGTGATAGAAGTAAGAGAGAATGATAGAAGTCTGTCTCCAAACACAAACAGCTACAAAACAACCACCAGAAATAGAAGCTCGATTTGTTGCTAGTCGTTTTTAACAAAGAAAATGCCTCTAAAATTAAGGATTAATAAAGTTTCCGGTTCAACTCCGAACACAATGGGCCTCATGCAAGAACCGTTTGTACGCACAGATTTCTTCTT